ACCAGTTATGGTCATGCGATTGCATTGTGAAAGAAACGTTGTGGAATCGATCAGAAAAGGTTGATCATCTAGCATCTAGCATCTGCAAGGTTCTGGAATCATCAAAATGATAAGAAATTTGGCCCATTCTTCGTAAAGTTACAAGCACTATACACAGAAAGATGTATATGGGACTACCCTATATCTCTCACAGACCATGAGAGAAACAAATTTACCAAATATATGAATTAGTAGGCGGTTTCCCGGCAAATTTTTTATCATCATGTATTAGTCAAAACATATTCTTTCACATGATTGGTAATGAGAGCTTCCATTTCATTTTTTGAAATTGGGGCGTTTCCAATACTGGTCTTTACCTTTAAAGATAAACTTGAGTTCTGGTAAAAAAAGAAAATGAATTCTCACAGAATCTAACGAAACTTACATTGAATGTTCAAGATTACAAATAAATTACATGTGCCAAACAATTTTGGAAGAAAATGTATACTGGCTGAGTAACGAGCATAGAAAGATAAGGAAATCAGGGTAGTACTAGCCCCGACACCATGTGTGTTGTCCCATATACATATTTCTGTGGAAGTGATTGTTACTTTACCAAGACTCTGCCAAATTTATGATGATTTTGATGACTCCAGAACCTTGCATTACACACCATTACTTACGTGCTATATGATCAACTTTTCTGATCCATTCCACACCTTTTCTTTCACAATGCAATCATATTACCAGAACTCAAGTTTATCTTTAAAAAATGACATTGGGTAAAAAATAGCACCACAATTCTTCTTTACCTCAGGTAAATGAAAATGGAAGTTAAACTAGAAAATCTGAACCAATTAAACAAAATTTCCTCTGTATGATAAAAAGTGCAACATCAGATTTTGATGAAGTATTACATAACAATATTCTGTATTGTAAACTTTTCAGACAGTTATTAATAGCTCATTTAAAATTGTAGCCAAATGTCAGAATGCCATTAAAAAAACATCATGGTACATGTCCATGTATACATTTAGTAATGAAACATGTTATAATGGTTGATAGATTTCCTGTTTCTTTAAAGTGGTTTTAAACACAGTACCTCATGGATAAAAACACATTGTTATTGTGTCTTGTATTATTATAAAAGGAAACCAGTGTTTGTGTTTTTATTATGTGTATCTTACCTTCCTGTTGAAACAACTGTTTTTCCTTTTTAAACTTAACCACAGTGTAGAGATGGCCAGATATTATTCAATTTTGATTTATATGCCTAGATGTTATGTGGAATACCCAGTAGTAATAAGTTCTATTTATCAGTGAAACAGGAATTTGGAAATCAGAGTTGGCTCTTCTACATGTAGTTTGTTTATGAGTTGGGATGACTGAAAATACATTTCATTGGTAATTTTTTCTTCTTTACTTTGGGCTGTAATGTAATGCACATTCTTACATATTAAATATGCTTTATACAAGTTCATAATTCTCTTGTCATTGAGTGCATCAAGTCAATTTACGATTAATTAACATCCTTTTAGAGTACATCTTACATGTACTGTGTACAAATACATTGTCTGTGTATCAAACTTAGTATTTTCTTAAAATTTCCCATTTTAATAGTAACAGCAGTATCTATTTAATGACACACAATACTCTATTTACCCTTTCTTGGAAGAAAAAAATCAAAATGACATATGCACCTGGAATTGTGGAGAAAGTTTATTGACCTACACTCAGTCCCTTGTTTTCACTTCAAGTTCAACGATCTCTCTGTATATGGTATATAAGCCCTGTGTACAGTGTCTATATTAAGGATGCACAGTTCATTCTCTTTTCATCCCTTCACCGGAGCAATCACCTGTCTGGTCGTTGCCCCGTATATTTTCGTGGAAGGGAGCGCTTATTATTACGAAGCGCCCAAGCATTTGATGATATTTCCATGCATGAACACTCTGAGAAATGAACACAATCAGTGATATTGATATTAGCGAACCTAAAAGTTGTTATCAATGATTGCAGTAGAATGGTTATTATCGAAGTACATGTGTTATTGTCAAGTAGAAATGCTATTGTATGTAAATTACCGAGGGAAATAGATAAACATGATATTGCATGGTACACCTGTACTTATCAGATACATGATTGTAATGTCAAAAAACAACTTAATACATGTAGATCATCTCCTGAAGACAACATATCTTTTGCAAAAAGGGCTCCTTTTGATTGTATGATGTGATTTGATAAAAATATAGCATTTAGAAACTAAATAAAACACAGTTTGTTTGCAGTTGAACCTTTAGTAAAAATGCAAAGGAAATGTATGTTATATACTGTACATGTTTATATCTGTGCATTGGTAAATTCACTCCAATGTCTTTGGTTTTGTTGTGAGTTTGATTCAGGGCAGGTTTATATATACATGTAGCCCTACAAATGTATTCTCTGTATGGGCACTTCCTTGTTTTTTGTATTGTTCTCAAAATACCATGCTATTAAAAATAGCTATTATTGAAACAGTGGTTTATTGAGATAGCACATTGGCCTGTGTGGGGTAACCGGTACGTGAAATTGTGAACGCTTTCAAACATTTCATTCAGATATCTTGAATGTCTCACTAGCTAGTTATTGACTATTTTAGGACATCATTTAATATCATAGATTATACCTGTGCTTTAAGATACAAATAATTAAAGTAACTAAATAAATAATCCATATTTCAGGTAAACTGGTAGATTTTGTATACACAAGTAACAGGCCGTCCATCATAAATATTTAAGACATTGTTTGATTCCCATACTAATCATATGGAGGCGACACAAGCTGTACACAAGCATGCATGTAATGTTAGAATATGGTTTTCCGCATATGAAAACTGATACTATCCTTGGCCGAGTGTTTTCAAGATGTAGTATGAGTGTAAACAAATAACCCTGGGCAGAGAGAGAGAGAGAGAGAGAGAAAGAGAAGGGGGTCATGTAATGTAAAGGGAGAGCAAAAGTACCAGTATATAATTGACCTGGATCTCACACAATCACACTCTTCTTTGAGAAATCTTTTTGAAAGTATGAATATTTAAAGTTAACTTCCCTTTAAGTATTTTGGACACATTATTTTACAACAAAAAGGAAATCAATCAATCAATCAAAAGATATTCGATATAGCGCCTTTTCCTTGCAGTTACAAAGCGCTGTACTGAAAGAAAATACCGAACAGAAAGGTATTAATCAAAGATGTAGCTGAGTTCAAGCATAGTTTTTTTCTTCCATTTGAATAGTTAGTGCTTATTAATTTTGCACTATCATGTGCATGGTATAAAATCAAGAAATGAATTTAAGAATATATGAAGAATATGAGTTGTTTAAATTGAAAAGATGTGCATACACGTACAGCACTTTTTTCCCTAACTAACCTAAATATATTGAAATCTCTTTGGGTAATTTGATTTGATATATTTAAATTTGATAAAAATGTTAACAAAAATTTGAGGCTAAACTGATGAGTTATATTGTTTGTACTCTGTGCACCATGGCACTGCTATGCTTTCTTATATGGTAAGCTACATCTGCATACAAAAAGTTGGTGCAAGCTGTAAATTTAAACTAAATATATCCCAGACAGCCAAATTGATGCAATTATGCTTGCAATACATTGCATTTAGATGTAGCAAAGACTCAAGACGCTGATGAAAAAGAAAAAGAAAAAAAAAGAAGCTTTTTTGGGAGGGGGATTTGCCTCAGTTTTTTAGCTCCGTTTTGGGGAATTGGGAAGAGGAAGCATTTTGGAAGTTAGAAGAAATGAAAGGTTTCCTGCAATACGGCAGGGAATTGATGCGACGGAACTGCAGCCATATTAGTGCTGATGTATGGGTTAAGTCTCTTACAAACTCTACTTGACTTCTTGTCTGAGATGTTCACATTCGGGCAATATTCAGTACGCTACAAATGACGTTTTTAACATGATTGTCAACATTAATTATCTTTTGTATTGTAGCTACCCACTACATATATTTGTGAAGCTGGACGTTCATCTGTTGAGCAGGTTGATATTATCAAAACTTACGTTTACATATATGTGTAAATCATTTACTTTATACATTTGAAATACTTGCAGGTGATATTTATTTTAAAAATATCTTTCGATTGAATGAAATGATATAACATTTGATGCTAACTGTATATTTTATGCCGTGCCAGATGCTGTATTGCATGCTCAGTGCTTTTTTGGTGCATACGCTGCATAACATTCATGCTAAGCTTTTTATCCCCTTTCACAAAAGGTAGATTTGTCAAAATGTACTATCTTTCTGTGAGAACCATATTGTATCATGAATTAAAATGATACTCTTCAAAACTGACTCTTATACATCTAGAGGCAAGTATATTAATTTAGAGTGTTGAAAGATATGAGAGTTTTCTTTCTCTAGCATATGACAGGTTAGACCTGTCTCATAATGTCTTATTCACAATTATCCCCAGGCAACAACCCCAAAATGTCAAGCAACAATTATTAATAACTGAAAATCCGATTGCTGCTGCAGGAATTTGTGTTAGAGTATACATTTTCGTTTTCATTGTGGCCTCAAACTTCCATCCATGTTTCAGAGTATTTCAAGTTTCAACAAGCTTGATTATGAATATAATTACATACCCATGCTGAAATAGCCTTTATGCCTACATGTTGGTATCATTAAAATACAATACCGGTAACTTGCATCTTTACTTTTTTTAAACAGATGTCAGTCTACCTTACATAAATCTATCTTTGACACTGCATGATCTGTAATCTTTATGGATCGAGGCCTGTACACTTTTGGCCTTATACCTGTAGCCTACATAAGAGGGAAAAGTACAATTGAATGAGACCAAAGGAGAAAATATGTATGTACTTGTGATGGATAAAAACCTCAAACTGCTGCATTGCTTTGAGTACATGTGTATGCTACATACAAGCATGAGAGCAGTCACCTGTGGCAGTTTATTAGTTGCCAAAGTCTGTATTAAAAGACTGCATGTTCTGAGTCCTTAGAATTAATTTTGAATTTGTATTAACATTTAAAATATCATCACATCTATTTCTCTTTTTATTTGATTTGCAGTACGTTGGATCCTTCTCTGTGGTGCATCTCACTCCAAACTCCCGAGCAGAGTTCGTCAGACTTCAGCTCCAATCACTACAGGTAATGTATATCCCTCTGTAGTCTACGCTAGATGTACATATATCCTTTTATAGTCTACGATAAATGTACTCTGTCAAACCAGACACTTTCAGGACATCAAACTTTGGCAATTTTGTAAAAATGTAAATGGTGACTATTTTCAGAAAGAATATTGCTACATGTTGCGATTCTATACAATAGAAAGATTTGCCACATGAAATTTTATGATATGGTAGTGATGACCATTTTCATGACCAGAGCGTTTTGCAAAATTTATTTTTGTGATGTTATTCTATTTCTATCCACTTCAAATGTTCCATGGCATGAAAATTGCATGAACCTTGACCACTCACAAATTCAAAGAGTTCTGTGCCCTTTAAAAGTGTCTGGTTTGAAGCTAATAGAAAATAATGCCAAGTACAGTGTGAAAAACTTCCTTGTAGAATTGTTTTGAAAACTGCATCCTATGAACATTTCAGTGTATTAATCAGAACTGTTCAAGATATTCATGCTTCAAATAAATTCATGGTAATCCAGATTATACTGACAACTCAGTTCAAGTTATTCTTTTGCTTGAATGATCCAGATTACAGCAATAACTTCATTGTTTGATTGCTTGCTCAGTAATACTATCTGATATTGAAAAAAAGAAGATAATCGGTCAATCATCAGAGAAAGAGGAGAATACATAAATGGAAGTCAGGTGCACTTTTGAAGGTTATCACAATAAATTTAGACAAATTTCAGGGAATATCTAGCATAATGAGTCATCTGTTGCTCTGACATTCACTCCCACTCACTCGTAAACATAATGAAACAGAGAGGGAAAACACACACACGTGAATAGCAAACAATCAAGATTGTGAATAAAATGGGCTTACAGATAAAGTGCAGGACTGGGCATGTGTGATCACATTGTGAAAGAAATTACCTAGAATCAGTTTGGAATTGATTGTAATATTATGGTACACTAGGATGATTGTGTGTTGTGAGATCGAAACTCATCAACATTAAAAAAGTGACTGAATCTTGTTCAAAAATTATATTGAGTGAACAATTCTGGCCATAGACGGGAATGGGTAAATGGGACCATACAAACACACACAGTTGATATCAAATTATGATAACAAATTTTGTACTAGTTTTGTATTAAGAATAAGAGGGGATTTCAATAGTAATATGAATTCATACTGAATATCTCCTTTGCAAGTAACTTTACTCTATGATATTCTAACACAAAGGAATTAAAAGAATGAGAAAGGTCGTAAATTTGGTAAAATTTTAAGTTATTTTTGGAATATGAGGGCATTTCAAGAGCAGTCTACTTCATGTAACATTGCTACTATGATTCTTCCACAAAGGAATACAAATAATGACAGAGAGCATGTTTTCCCCCAAAACCAGCAAATTTTTGTCTTTTCTTTAAGCTCTAGCTGGAGGTGGGTCAGGTTTATTGTGTGTTTCTCGTTGATTTGTTGATAGGATTATCCATTGTTGTGGGCAGTGCTGAGGCAGAAACTTGACACATAGAGATTGATAAGGACATGATATGTAATCATCTTTGTGTATTATTTGATATGATTTATCTTGTGTCAAGCACCTCATGCTCTTAACCAAATTAGAATTGTGACTAACAAAAAAAAAATGTAATCCTGTAAATATGTTTGTATCTCAAGTTGTCAAATGAAAATAGTCCTTTTTGTGTGTTGTAGTAAATATTTGCTTATTGGATTGAATGGAAATGAAACTAAATCACATCGACATGTGTTTGACATTGTTATCTTAAAATAAAAAAAATCCTTTTCAAAGTATATTACCTCTTGAAGTTTGTATGGTTCAAGTGAATCAGATGTGAATGTTTACCATTTTTAGACCTTAATTTTCAATTATATTGTTACGGTTAAAGTGGCATTCTGCCTCATATTGATCCACAGTGTACAAAGCATCTCAAAACATATTCTGTTTGGAGCCAGAAGGTTGGTAACTCATATCATTTACAGAGAGTTAATGCCCTTCTTGCTCCAAACAGATAACATTCAGAGTCAGAAGGGTGTTCACTATGTGTTCAAGTTTACAATATAATGCCCTTTTGGCTCCAAACAGATGATATCTTGTATGGAAAAAGATTATTTATGTTTAAAAAAAAATCTTTCATGTACTGTCAAGTCTGCATGTCACTATTATAGATTTTGTAATTTGCATGAACATCTTTATTTACTATTGACAAGTGAAGGCCTAGTACCACACCCTAAAACTCTTGTAAAAGTCAAATCTATTTCTAAATAATTTCTCATGAACTGTCACTGATAGGTTATCCTAAACGACTTTATTACTGTGCTAAAACTTTCACTGATTTGAAAGTTGCCAATTTCCCATCCTAACCGGCACCAGATAGCAGGGATTTAAGATTCTGGGACGTCTTTCCTGTCAAACAAATACCAAGGACCTGTAGGTTTGTTGTGACCCCTGTCAGGAAAGATGTCCAAGAAGTCGCATTCTTATCGAATCTTTGATAAAAAGGAAAATGGAAGTTGGTGATACTCTCTCTTTATGATAAAGTTGTCTGTGTACAGCCAGACATGTCCTGTGCATGTAGCTATCACTTTGATAAAAAAAGGTCATCTGTTGGTGAAAAGAATTATTTGAGAGTCCTTCAGACTGTTTTTTTTTAAAGCTAATGTTCATATTAAAGTCGTAAAACAAAAAGAAATCTTGTCTTACACATTTCGCTTTAAACTACCCCCTGTAATTCATGTATATGTTCATCTTATAGGTACCATTTTTTAAGGGGGGTGGGGGGTTGACAAATGTAAAGTAAAAATGCTACAATCAAAACATTACCACTTGTCTTTATAACTTTCCAATATTTTTTCTCAATTATCATGAGATAGATTTATAGACAATAAACCACTTCAAATTTTCAGTTGAAAGTGTTACTGAGTACCTTTAAGGTTATTTGACAGGAATAAGTGGTCCGGAATCAGGATATCGGGCTGTTACCAAGGTGGGAAATGTGCTGCTTTTACTCAGAAAGACTACAGAATTAAGATCCTTATACAAACACAGAGTATTTCAAGATCTGATCATGGCTTTATTTTGGCAGTATGATGATCAAATCATTACGTAGTGAAAATAGGCCAGTTTCCTGTCTTACAGTCTTAGCATATAGTGTAAGAAGGCCTTCAGCTATAAAACCTGTCAAACTTATTTTAAAATAGATATATAATGAAATTATGTTGATTTATGACTTCACTACAGAAAAATATTTCAAAGACAACAAAAACTACCATCATGGTTTTAAGAAACTTGTGTGTCAAAGGCTATCATAGATGGGATAAACAATGTTAAGATATATGTCATAAGCCTCTATGAATTTCCTCAACTTAACATACAATGTTCTTTGGTATGATTGATATAAATTTTGGAATTACTATTTATATTTTTTATGTATTTTGTATTTATTTTGTAATTTGTAGCATCCAAAGAAGTCGAGACCGGTGATCCTACAAATATCTCTGTCTGGAGTGAAAGTCTGCTCACCAGAAGATGAAAAGGTAAGAAAGCAGTTTGAATGATGGGATGGGGGTTGCAATGGTGGTAGTGGAGGCGATGATGGTGATGGGGGTGATGATGGGTCGGGGGTTGCAACTGTGGTACGTGGATGCGATGGTGATGATGGTGCTGGTGGTAGTGGAGGTTGAGGAGGAGGAGGAGGAGGAATAGAGAGAAGGAGGAGTCAGAAGAGTAGGAGAAAGAGGAAGAGGGGGGAAATGGTGGTGGTGATGGTTGTGGTGTTGCTGTTGGTGGTGGTGGTGTTCATAATCTGGTGAGGATTGTTATAAAGTTGATAGTCATTACAAATAATGATATCAGTGGTGAGGATGGTAATGATGATGATATTCAAATAAATTAAATTGAATGTGCGGATTGTTGTAAAATGGTAAAGCATTACAACTGACGATGGTAGATGGTGGTGATGATGGAGCTAGTAGGGGTAAAGATGAAACTTATGTAAGTATGAATTATGAATGAAGATGATGGTCATATATAGGAGACCTGTGGTAACAATGAAGATGGTCATATTTTATAAAGATGGTTCGGATTGATTGGTTTGAGAATAATGGCTAATTACAAGATTGGTGTTGATGACAATTGATTGAAAATTTGTAATAACATGTTTGACATAATGTAATATTCAATTTGAAATAGTGGTAGCACTACTTTGATTAGAAATAGAGGAAGACTACTTTATTATCAATCATATACATGTACGTCACTACTCCTACCTATATTTCTAATCTACGTCTGAGATGAGACAGAACTACAAAAGTATTTTTCCTCTCAACGTAATTCCTGAACTCTTCAATAGCCATACTTCAATGAAAATCTAGTTCAAGTTTCCTCTTTCAGACCCTCAAAGGTTCCCAGGGTCAAGGAAGGTTGACATCATCCCATGACATCATACTCTAAAAATAGACCATGTATTCATGGATCCCCCATTGCTCTGTAATTGCCCCTTAATAATGTTTTGAGCTGTTTTTTCATTCATTTGTGGAGCTTACACCTTCATACTTCCTACCTATGCCAGCTGTGAGGAGATCGGTTTTGATTTCCTGCTCTGTTTCCGTGGAGACGCACGTTACACTCTCTTCCATAGTGTTTTGAGAAGGTGTAAATGTTCACAGTCACCTCTGAATCCGATGGGAATTGAGATATTGTTGCCAGGACAAGTTTCAATCTGGGCTTACAAAGTTCAGATGGGATTGTAATTGGCATTTTGTGAAGGGTAGAATGGTATGGGTCGAGACTGAGCATGCCTTTCTAGCACAACTGAGTGATTCTTTGACTTGTTTTTGTGGCTGAATCAAAGAGTTTCTAAGCTAGCTCCTTTGGTTGAATGCAATTAAAAAAAAAAACGATTTCAATTTGTAAAGGACTGCATATTAGATTCTGATCTTTAAACAGTTGAGTGGCAAATATGGTGAGTTACATATCATCCATCTATGGCCAAAAGGGTGTCAAATTCTCTCTAGGCTTGTCCTCATCAGACCGAAGTTGCAAAATAACCTGCTATTTTAACTAGCCCAATCTCAAATTAGCCAGCTAATTTACGTCTTCATCAGCCCGCAGTTGCAATTAGTGGGCTAATTGGTCAAGAAAATGTCTAGAGAAATCTCGGTCTTGTTTCCCAAATAACCCGCTATTTAAAATATAGCGGGCTAATTTGCGCCCGTTTGTGATGAGCGTATCGGTCTGGTGAAGACGCAATTTCAAGCATCCAGAAAGTATTCCGGGTCTGAAAATAGCGGATTATTTTGCAACTTTGGTTTGATGAAAACAGGCCTTGTGTGTAAAATGATATGAATTGAACTCCTTGCTAGCTTCAAAGAGACAATATGTGCAAGGGCCTACCTGTAACAGTAACAAATTTATTATTGAACACATTTTTAGTTTTAAGTGGGTTGCAAGTAGGAAAGTCACTGTAGTGTTTGTAATTTATTTTCTACCAAGTAATTTGGTTAAAAAATAGAAAGGAACAACCCCATCGTTATGCATTTTTTACGGGCAGAAGCCTGTTTTTAGATAGACATAGGGTGCGTTCAATCGAATTTTCCAAGCTAGAATCACAAACATGAATCACAAATCAAAACGCCGTTACAAAAAACAAGGTCATTGCGGTTAGCGTTCAAGCGATTTTTCATCAACACTGATTCTAGCTCATTTCTAGCCCAGCCACTGCGCATCACCCTCGCAGTTTGACCCAGAAAGTATAGGTCAACTTCGGCGCGCGCTTTTTGGAATTGTTTACGGCCGACTGTCGACTGCTGTTTTGAGCATAGATCGCAATAATAAAACAAAGAATGAGAAGGTGATGGAAGGAAGAAACAAAAAATTATATAAGGAAAGACAAAAAGAGAAAGTGATAGAGTTATTAATACAAAGAATAACGTAAGAGAAGGTGATATAAGGAAGAAACAAAGAATGACATAAGGAAAGGCAGAAAGAGAAAGTGATAGAATGCTTAAAACAAAGAATTACATAAGAAAAGGTGATAGAAGTAAAAAACAAAGAATAACATAAGAATAGAAGGAAGAAACAAAGAATAACATAAGGAAAGACAGAAAGAGAAAGTGATAGAATGATTAAAACAAAGAATAACATAAGAGAAAGTGATATAATTATAAAAACAAAGAATAACATAAGAGAAGGTGATAGAAGGAAAAACAAAGAAAAACATTAGAAGAAAAGGAAGAAACAAAGAATAACATAAGGAAAGACAGAAAGAGAAAGTGATAGAATGATTAAAACAAAGAAGAACATACGAGAATGTGAGTGAAGGGAAAAAACAAAGATTAACATAAGAATAGAAAAAAAAGAAACAAAGAATAACAAAAGAGAAAGTGATAGAATTATAAAAACAAAGAATAACATAAGAGAAGGTGATAGAAGGAAAAACAAAGAATAACATAAGAATAAAAAGAAGAAACTAAGAATGACATAAGGAAAGACAGAAAGAGAAAGTGATAGAATGATTAAAACAAAGAAGAACATAAGAGAATGTGAGTGAAGGGAAAAAACAAAGATTAACATAAAAATAGAAAGAAGAAACAGAGAATAACAGAAGAGAAAGTGATAGAATTATAAAAATAAAGAACAACATAACGAAAGACAAAAAAAGAATGTGATGCAAGGAAGAAACCAAGAATCACATAAGGAAAGACAGAAAGAGAAAGTGATAGAATGATTAAAACAAAGAAGAACATACGAGAAAGTGATATAATTATAAAAACAAATAATAACATAAGAGAAGGTGATAGAAGGAAAAACAAAGAATAACATTAGAAGAAAAGGAAGAAACAAAGAATAACATAAGGAAAGACAGAAAGAGAAAGTGATAGAATGATTAAAACAAAGAATAACATAAGAGAAAGTGAGTGAAGGAAAAAAAAAAAGATTAACATAAGAATAGAAGGAAGAAACAAAGAATAACAAAAGAGAAAGTGATAGAATGATTAAAACAAAGAAGAACATAAGAGAATGTGAGTGAAGGGAAAAAACAAAGATTAACATAAGAATAGAAGGAAGAAACAAAGAATAACAAAAAAGAAAGTGATAGAATTATAAAAACAAAGAATAACATAAGAGAAGGTGATAGAAGGAAAAACAAAGAATAACATAAGAATAAAAGGAAGAAACATAGAATAACATAAGGAAAGACAGAAAGAGAAAGTGATAGAATGATTAAAACAAAGAAGAACATAAGAAAAGCTGATAGAAGGAAAAGAACAAAGATTAACATAAGAATAGAAAGAAGAAACTGAGAATAACAGAAGAGAAAGTGATAGAATTATGAAAATAAAGAATAACATAAGGGAAGGTGATAGAAGGAAAAAAACAAAGAATAACATAAGAATAGAAGGAAGAAACAAAGAATAACATAAGGAAAGACAGAAAGAGAAAGTGATAGAATGATTAAAACAAAGAAGAACATAAGAAAAGCTGATAGAAGGAAAAGAACAAAGATTAACATAAGAATAGAAAGAAGAAACAGAGAATAACAGAAGAGAAAGTGATAGAATTATAAAAATAAAGAATAACATAAGGGAAGGTGATAGAAGGAAAAAAACAAAGAATAACATAAGAATAGAAGGAAGAAACAAAGAATAACATAAGGAAAGACAGAAAGAGAAAAAGAGGAAAACAGGGTATAACATAACGGAACAGGCCACGATAAAGCGCATGGTATAGTAAACGCAAATTGCATGAAAAGCAGGCGCGCGGTTTTTGTCCAAACCGGAACAGGCTCCGTCATACCATCATGATTGAAAACTCCGTCCGTTCAATCGAATTTTAGCGACCGTGATTCTGCAGAATCATGATACAAAACGCATCTTTTTCAGCGTTTCATGTTTGTGTTTTCAAACACGTTTATTTTTACGACCGACGAAAAAATCGCTTGAACGCATTGCGTTTTAAACTAAACGTCTTTAGAAACCGTGATTCTAGGGTGAAAAAGTGTCGATTAAACGCACCCATAGATTGTAACACATTCAGAGAACACTGAATAAGCAATCCAAAGATGGTAAGCCCATTTACTGTACGTAATTGCAAAAGAGGAAGAATTGGATATTAACCCCTTTGTTTGGGGAAGCCATCAATACCAATTTCTTCATACACTTTAGCTTATTTGTGGAGTGATAAGTGGGTCCTCTGTAATATGGCCAGTATGATATGGTCACTAGTAATATATGACAAGTTCATTTAAAGGGTATCACTCTGCTTGGGTTTGGTATCACAGAGTCGCAGAGAGCTTGCAAGTAGTTGACATAGTTCAAACTGTAGGGGGTGCTGTACGTCAGAGTGTGCTTGCATGCTGTGCTCCCCTTGGCGAATCTGGCTTGGCCAATCTGGCCTGGTGTTGGTTGAGGCAGTGCCTAAAGTCTGAAAATAGTAGGCTGATCCATATGTTGTGTGTGGAATGGTTGTTTGGTACCTACAGCATATATGTATTTGTATATTTTATGTGAAAAATCAAGATTGATGTGGTAAACTA